TCTGGAGCCACCCGCCATATTTGTGCTAACAAGGAGTTATTTTCTTCTTATGCCCCCGCAGGACCCGACGAGAGAATTTTCATGGGAAATTCGTCTACAGCCAAAATTGAAGGAGTTGGCAAGATTGCGTTAAAGATGACGTCGGGAAAAATAGTGACTCTAAACCAAGTCCTCCATGTTCCAGAAATTCGCAAGAATCTTGTGTCGACTTCACTTCTTGTCAAGAATGGATTCAAATGTATTTTTGTTTCCAATAGTGTTGTACTAAGTAAGAGCGATTTGTATGTAGGAAAAGGTTACCTAAATGAGGGCCTTTTTAAGCTAAAAGTAATAGCAGTTCCTATCAATAAAGTGAATGCTTCTTCTTACTTACTTGAGTCAAACACTTTATGGCATTCGCGTTTAGGTCACGTAAACTTCAAAACATTGCGAAAGATGATAAATCTAGAAGTATTGCCAAAATTTGATTGCATTAATTCCAAATGTCAAATATGTGTGGAATCAAAGTATGCTAAGCATCCTTATAAGTCCGTTGAAAGGAATTCAAGTCCTTTAGACTTAATTCACACAGATATTTGCGACATGAAGTCAACACCATCTCGCGGTGGGAAAAAGTATTTTATTACTTTTATTGACGATAGCACGAGATACTTCTATGTTTATTTACTTAATAATAAAGATGAGGCAATTGATGCTTTCAAGCAATACAAGAGTGAAGTTGAAACGCAACTAAACAAAAAGATCAAAATGATAAGAAGTGATAGGGGTGGCGAATATGAATCTCCTTTTGAAGAAATATGTTTGGAAAATGGCATTATTCACCAAACAACTGCCCCTTACTCTCCACAATCTAATGGAATTGCGGAGAGGAAGAATCGAACGTTGAAGGAGATGATGAATGCATTGCTAATAAGTTCTGGCTTACCACAGAACTTGTGGGGGGAAGCTATACTTACAGCTAACCAAATAATCAACCGTGTACCTCATAGTAAAACACAATCCATTCCTTATGAGAAGTAGAAAGGAAGGAAGCCTAGCTTGAAATACTTCAAAGTGTGGGGGTGTTTAGCTAAGGTACAAGTTCCTAAACCTAAAAGGGTTAAGATAGGTCCAAAAATGGTTGATTGTGTGTTTATTGGATATGTAACCAATAGCAAGGCATATCGTTTTCTGGTTCATAAATCAGAAAATCCAGAGATTCACGTTAATACGATAATAGAATCAGATAATGCTGAATTCTTTGAAACTATTTATCCGTATAAAAAGGAAAGTGAAGTGACCTACCAAAAGTCAAAACGACTTCGGGAGGAAATAATAGATGGTATGCCTAATGAAGAAAATCCGAGAAGAAGTAAACGTCAAAGGACATCTACTTCATTCGGTCCATATTTTCTGACTTTTCTGTTAGAAAATGAGCCTCGTACCTTCAAGGAAGCAATGTCTTCCTCAGAGGCACAATATTGGAAAGAAGCTGTCAATAGTGAAATAGAATCCATATTGAGCAACCATACTTGGGAATTGGTTGATCTTCCTCCAGGTAACGAAATGTTGGGTTCTAAATGGATTTTCAAGAAGAAAATGAAAGACGACGGTACTATTGACAAATACAAGGCAAGACTTGTTGTCAAAGGATTTAGACTACAAGAAGGTCTTGACTATTTTGACAAATACTCGCCGGTAACAAGAATTACATCCATTCGGATGCTAATAGCGTTAGCCGCCTTGTATGGTCTTCAAATCCATCAAATGGATGTAAAAACAGCCTTTTTAAATGGTGATCTTGAGGAAGAAATTTACATGAACCAACCTGAAGGGTTTGTGGTTCCGGGAAAAGAAAAGAAGGTGTGTAGACTTGTTAAGTCTCTTTATGGACTAAAACAAGCACCCAAACAATGGCATGCGAAATTTGACCAAACAATGTTGTCAAATGGTTTTAAGATTAATGAATGTGATAAATGTGTTTACATTAAGAACGTTCCAAATCATATAGTCATTGTTTGCTTATATGTTGATGATATGCTAATAATGAGCAAAGACATTGCCGACATTCAAGCTACTAAGCGCATGCTTGCTAGTAAGTTTGATATGAAAGACTTAGGAGTTGCCGATGTAATTCTAGGAATTAAAATCCAGAGGACTCCTCAAGGTCTAGCTTTGTCTCAATCACATTACGTGAAAATGGTACTTGAAAAATTCAAACACTTGGAATTTAGAAGTGCAAGAACTCCAATTGACTTAAATCATCATCTCATAAAGAATAAAGGTGAAAGTACGTCTCAATTGGAGTATGCTCGTGTGTTGGGAAGCTTAATGTACATCATGAACTGTACACGACCTGATATAGCTTGTGCGATAAGTAAACTTAGTCGATTCACAAGTAATCCCAACAAACATCACTGGGTAGCAATGAAACGAGTTCTGGGATATTTGGAATATACCCAAGACTACGCTTTGCACTACAATAAATATCCTGCGGTTATCGAAGGATATAGTGATGCAAATTGGATAACCGGCTCAACAGAAACAAAGTCCACAAGTGGATATGTTTTTACTGTTGGTGGAGGAGCAGTATCTTGGAAGTCTTCCAAACAAACGTGCATTGCTCGCTCTACAATGGAATCAGAGTTTATAGCTTTGGATAAAGCCGGTGAAGAAGCTGAATGGCTTCGAAATTTCTTAGAAGACATTCCGTTCTGGCCAAAACCTTTGGCTCCTATTTGCATACATTGCGATAGTGAGGCTGCAATAGGACGGGCAGGGAGCGTTATGTATAACGGAAAGTCTCGTCATATACGACGAAGACATAACACCGTTAGACAACTACTTTCTAGTGGAATTATCACTATTGATTATGTAAGATCAAAGGATAATGTGGCGGATCCGCTTACAAAAGGCTTAACTAGAGAGGGAGTTGAGAAATCATCTAAGGGAATGGGACTATGGCCGAGGACAAGTCAACATGGCGGTAACTCTACCTAGAATTTTGGATGTTCCGAGATCTAGGTTCAAGGAGCTCAAACAAAGTTGTGATTGACCGGTTCAACATTGTCAAAGTAAAATCTTTGGTCCCTTCTCGTGATGAAGACAATGTTCAGTAACAAGGATAGAACTTTACACGTTCTTTAATGATTACCTAAGTTTGATGAGGTATTTATCAAATAGTGTCAATCTAAAGGATTACACGTTTAGGAATCACCTATGTAAGTGTGAAGTGGAAGCCGCTTCAATGAGAATTTTGTAAGGCCAATTCTCTACGCACTTATGAAACCAGGCGGTGTTCATGGCTAAAACGAACACAACAATGAGAACCAAAAGACGGTTAAGGGTTGGTTATGTGACATATGGTTGTCTAGGTATACACTAAAGTTCGACGGTTCAAAGATATCAAATCTACCGATTGACGGAGTATATCCGACATATGTTCACTACGGAAAGTTCAAAGGGAAACCTACTTATCCAGATGCAATTAATCCTTACTTGCAAAATCACATAGCTTTCATCTATGATCTTTCTTGATACAGCCATTCCCATTCATGTGGGGGATTGTTGGACTTTAAGCCATTGAGCTTTAAAGTAGAAGAAGTGTGAATTGGAAATGGAGGGAAATAAAATGGAGGAAAATTGAAAATTTGAATAAGTGAACTTTTGTCTTGCACTTTGTCCCTCATTGGTGAGGGACAACCACATTTGTGTGCTTAAATATAGAATCACTTCTTAAAGCTCTTAAAAGGAGTTGAAGAGAATGAACCCTCGCGCCGTCGTCGTCGCTCGCTCGGCTCGGCTTCGGCTTGGATTTGGATTTGGATTTGGATTTGGATTTGTCAAATGATCGATCGATAAGATTATTTTTTGACAAAATTTATTTAATTATTTAATAATTAATTAAATGCCAAATCACTGCTGAAAATACGCCAGAACCCTGCTGAAGGTTCAGAGGGCCTCTCTGGCCGCGGTTCTGCCGCGACCGCGGCAGAACCGCGGCAGGCAGGTTCAGAAAGCCTCTCTGACCAACGTTCTGCCGCGACCGCGGTAGAACCGCGGCAGGCAGCGTATTCTTCTGAAAAGGCACCTTTTCCAGACACCTCTTCTGATAATTGCCTATAAATTCTGAGGCAAGGCTCCATTTTCTACACACGAAAAACACTCCAGAACTTCTTTCTTTCTGAATATACTGCATCCTAATTCGCAGTCCCTCTCTCTCAAATTCATAAGTGTGATTTTGCTCCGTTCTTTGAGTTCGTTGGTATCCTGCAGTTTGTATTGCCACTGTTGCAGGAAGGTTTATTCCGTTTTATCCTGGGAGGATTTAATCCATTACCTTGGCAACGTGTGAGGGGTTAAAATTCCTTAAGGACACACAAGAAAATTGTGGACTCGGAATATTTCTTAAACTCTTCTGTTTTTCCAGTTTCTTTTATTTTTTCTAACAGTTTTTTTTTCCTGATTTTTGATTTAACACAGTAACGCTCACAAGTTCCATTTAATACTCCTCGAATTCAACCATACAATGAAGAAAAATAAATATAAAAGTTAGTTGTTGCAGACCGCATGTTTAAGCGAAAAAGATAGTGTAAATTTGCTAAAGATTATATTCTAACTTGAAAGGTGCAATTAAAATGAAAAAAAGATTTATAAGAATTGAACGTTTATAGATAATAAGTATAGACACATGATGCATGTGAGGGTAAGGGAAAGAAGTCTCTTTGGTACGTATAAGTAGCGGTCACAAATCGAAGTTTCAAAAGCCAAAAGAGAGATTTTCCAATAAGAAAAAAGTTGGTTGAGACACAGATAACAGGGTGGGTTTGCTAGCAAAAACTAATTATATGTTCACTTTATATATCTAGGAAAACAAATTGAAATTAAAGGGGAATATTATTACCTTGTCCAAGGAAGATCTAACGAGCTATTTTTGCATTTGAGATTTGGCCATTTCTTTGTAAAATGCATTTGTTTTCTGTACTATTTCAAGTTCCTTTTCGGTTTCTTGAATTGCTAACCTCAGTTTTCTTTCAATAGCAAGGCAACCATACACAGGGTTTTCTTTCCTAATCTTTGCCTCTAAAATTAAGCTTTCTGCCATTTTTCCTTTTTGCTCATCATCATCATCAACTGAATTAAGCATATTTATGATGTTGCTTACGCCGAAAAGTTGATAAACATTTTGGAAATCTTCAGTTCTATCGGAAGGAAAATATGGAGCTAATTGGCAATTTGCAGCACATTTTTTCCTTAGGTACATACATGCTGCACATTTTTCATTAGATATGACCGGATCTGCATTCTCCATTTTCTTTTCACCTGGGAATTAACCCTAAATACTTAATTACAAAGCAAATTTTTCTCCCTAGCTATTTTCTTGTTAATATAAAAATGGAGAAGAAATGAGTTGATTAAACACAGTGCAATTTAAGAAATATATATATAGCAAGATATAATGATTTTAATGTTTTAATTACAAAATCAGATTACATCTAAGATAACAGGATTTGACTCTTACTTAAATACATTTAATAAGCCTAGATTTTGTTCTCTAAAAAATGAGCAATATACTTAATTTTTTTTTTGGTAGCAAATCCTTCATATTACTTGTTAATAAATATGTTCATATTTGGTTACTTGTGATTCATGGGACATATGTAATTACAATTCAAGCGAAGTTTAGTACGTGGGTATTTGCGTTAGGTTTAAAAATTAAATTAAATTACGTATATAGAGTACATTCAAATTTCTCTATAACAACTCCATTTATTTTTATATTTTTCGTCTTTTATAGTAAATAGATATTATAGTACATCTATAACATCATTTGACATTTCAATATTATTTGGTTGTTGTAGACAAAAAGAAATTTCAGAATCAAATCAAGGGTAGTATAGCTTTTTCAAAAAGAAAACCCTGCAAATAACTGAATTAGAAACTCCTAGAGCCTTCTAGATGGGGTTCAAAATGGAATTTCAGAAAATTTAGTAGTGTAACTTGAGAAACAAGTCAGTCTATTAGGGACTAACTAGCTAAATACTGAAAATAAAAGAGGGACTAAAGGTGTAAAGTAAAAAATCTGAAAGAGCCCCAATTTTGGCCTATGAAAGGCAGTCTCTACTGCGTTGTTTGACAAGTTTGAAAGGTCTAAAAAATTTGAAAAATTCAAATTCAAAAGAAGAATCTGAAATCTGAGAGTAAAAACATTCATTCTAGATCTTAAATTTCAAAAAAAAAAAACCCAAAAAAATGGCACAAAAAACTCCAAAAAATGCTATTCTATTGAAGTTTCTTAGTTTAATTTCGAGTTCTGGCTGTTGATTTGAGTTTCCAGCTTAGATAAGGATAGAAATAGCTTAATATTCCTTGTGTATTGGTTGCTGAAGTGTCAGAGATTGTCCTGGGTTTAATTCCAAGTTTGTTTGGGTTTATTCAAGCTGTTTTGGGTGGTTTACTGGTTAGAACCTGTCCTGGGCTGTTTGATACTGTTTCTGGGTTTACAATAGATCTCGAGCTGCCGATTCCTGTTATTGTACTGCTGTTGAACTTGCTGACTCTACCTTCTTCTCTCATTTTGCCTCAATTCCAGGTACTCCTTTGATCTCGTGTGAACTGTGAATGATCAATGTAGGTCTGATTTGAAGGATTAAATGATAAAGTGCTGTTTAAGTTGATCTCTGGGTTTTTCCTGTTTTGTTTTAGTTTAAAGATGTAGAACATTCATGTTTATTTGAAACTTCATATCATTTGTGTAATTAGGGCTGTTCGAACTGCTTTTAAATTGAACTGCTGGACTGTTATAGTTACTCAGATATTCTGTTAATAAGGCTAGATCGAATAGGTTTAGTTCTGTTTGTTTGTCATAAAATTTAAGCGTAAAATGTGATCTCAATCTGATAAAGTTAGTTTCAGTTTTAGAACAGTTTATCATGGTTTGAAGCTTTGAATCATCTCTTGCAGCTCTAAAAGGACCGATTTGTGTTAATTTGTTCGAAAGTAAATTCAAAGAGTCCAACTCAATATCAGTGTTTACATTATACTCCAGTTTAGCTTAAGGATTTGAAATTGCTATCAAAGTCTAGATTAGGTATGTTAATTCATCACCATATCCATGAGTTAGTTAACGCCTATACGATTCGAATTCGACTGGCCTGTTTTAATACATCTTTGACTTGAATAAGCTTAGGCATTTTCTTAGTATAAGACCATTAGATCAAGTTGGTTTTAAAATTAGCATTCTGGTTTGTTATGTAAATGAGGTTTGGGCTTAATTACATGATAACAAACCCAGATATTGTTGGTCCTTTGAACCAACACTCTGTCCGATTTGTATTGGGTTTCTGGGCCAGTTTTCGCAGCCCAACATACTGAAGATTTGAATCCATATTCAAAGTTGTTAGTCTAATTTCATAATATCGAGTTTGGATTTTTCCGAGCTAAGTAGCAAATTTGAATTAAGCGGTCTTCGATCATGGAGATCCGTTTGTTTGGATTTGGACATGATCTTGAGGCCTAAGTCTTGCTAGAATGCCTTAAATAATATTCAATTAATCATGCCAATTAATTAGGCTTTAGAGACAATCTTTAATAGATAATAATAGTCCCGTTTAGGATGGCCTTTAAAATAAAACGAGGTCCGCCACACCAAACAAAATTCATAAATTGCGTGGCCCTCTCTAAATACTCATATTAAAATACTTAGAAACCGGGACGTGCCATTTAGCGAATTTTCATGGCCTCCCGCAAAGTTAATAACACGTTAGCCGCTTTAGGCGCGTTCTTTAATAATTTTACCTTCCTAAATTCGGGTGTGCATTTCATGTGACCCAAATCCAAATCCCAAAACGTTGAATAAAATGTGTCGAGGGTTCGGGTGCATTTCATGTGACATGATCCGAAAATATGTTTTAAACGACGTTCTGTTTCTTAAAAAGATTAACTAAAAGCGGTAAATAATCTCAAAATTGCACTATAGGATGACATGTATAAAAATCAGATTTTTAGCCAATTATAATAGTTTAAGCGACCGTGCTAGAACCACGGGATCCGGGGGTGCCTAACACCTTCCCTCGGGTCAACAGAATTCCTTACTTAGAATTTCTGGTTCGCAGATTCCCTTCGGGAAGTCGAAATTTTCCTCGATTTGGGATTCAAGATAAATCGGTGACTTGGGACACCAAAAGCCAAACCTATCCCAAGTGGCGACTCTGAAATAAATAAATAATCCCATTTTGAATAATGTCACTTTAATTGGAAAAACTCCCTTATACATTATCCTTCGGGGTAGGTGTGTAGGAAAAAGGAGGTGTGACAGCTCTGGCGATCAATAAACTCTATAAATAATCTGCGTCAACTACGATCTTCATCTTCATTGCAAATCCACTACTTACTAGGTTCCATTTAATACTCCTCGAATTCAACCCTACAATGAAGAAAAATAAATATAAAAATTAGTTGTTGCAGACGGCATGTTTAAGCAAAAAAGATAGTGTAAATTTGCTAAAGATTATATTCTAACTTGAAAGGTGCAATTAAAATAAAAAAAGATTTATAAGAATTGAACGTTTATAGATAGTAAGTATAGACACATGATGCATGTGAGGGTAAGGGAAAGAAGTCAGTCACAAATCGAAGTTTCAAAAGCCAAAAGAGAAATTTTCCAATAAGAAAAAAGTTGGTTGAGACACAGATAACAGGGTGGGTTTGCTAGCAAAAACTAATTATATGTTCACTTTATATATCTAGGAAAACAAATTGAAATTAAAGGGGAATATTATTACCTTGTCCAAGGAAGATCTAACGAGCTATTTTTGCATTTGAGATTTGGCCATTTCTTTGTAAAATGCATTTGTTTTCTGTACTATTTCAAGTTCCTTTTCGGTTTCTTGAATTGCTAACCTCAGTTTTCTTTCAATAGCAAGGCAACCATACACAGGGTTTTCTTTCCTAATCTTTGCCTCTAAAATTAAGCTTTCTGCCATTTTTCCTTTTTGCTCATCATCATCATCAACTGAATTAAGCATATTTATGATGTTGCTTACGCCGAAAAGTTGATAAACATTTTGGAAATCTTCAGTTCTATCGGAAGGAAAATATGGAGCTAATTGGCAATTTGCAGCACATTTTTTCCTTAGGTACATACATGCTGCACATTTTTCATTAGATATGACCGGATCTGCATTCTCCATTTTCTTTTCACCTGGGAATTAACCCTAAATACTTAATTACAAAGCAAATTTTTCTCCCTAGCTATTTTCTTGTTAATATAAAAATGGAGAAGAAATGAGTTGATTAAACACAGTGCAATTTAAGAAATATATATATAGCAAGATATAATGATTTTAATGTTTTAATTACAAAATCAGATTACATCTAAGATAACAGGATTTGACTCTTACTTAAATACATTTAATAAGCCTAGATTTTGTTCTCTAAAAAATGAGCAATATACTTAATTTTTTTTTGGTAGCAAATCCTTCATATTACTTGTTAATAAATATGTTCATATTTGGTTACTTGTGATTCATGGGACATATACAGTTCAAGCGAAATTTAACGCGCTTTCTCAAAAATTTGAAAAAGTTTCGCGCGTATTTGCGTAGGTATAAAAATTGAATTAAATTACGTATATAGAATACAATCATATCACTTTATAATAGCTCCATTTGTTATTATATGGTTCGTCCTTTATAGTAAATAGATATTATAGTACACCTATAACATTATTTGACATTTAATTATTATTTAGTTGTTATAGACAAAATATCTACAAATAAACATTTTTTTCTTTTTTAAATTTACATATAGAATATAAAAAAGTTATCTATTCTGACACAATGCTATCTTTACTTCTAAAGAAATAGCTTGATGTTTAGACTCCATATACATGACATGAATTATTCTCATCAAGAAATCAAAAGGCCTTACTTAAAAATTTTAATACACCACAAGAAATATTGAGTCCAATAAAAGACTCAAACTTTAGTGAGTATTTCTTAAAATCTTAAACTTACGTACGATGGGAATAGAAAAGATATGTGCAGATTTTTAAATATTAGGCGTTATGTACGACGAAGCATATATTTTAATGAAATTAAATAAAATCTTTAATTCACGAAGTTTGTATTAGCAAAATATTTTTATCAGAAGTGGTGTATTACATTTTCAAAATATTTTGCCAAACTTTTAGACTAATTATAGGGAATCTTAGAGATTTTACATTACTATTACAACAACAACAACAACCCAATAAAGTCCCACAAATGGGGTCTGGGAAGGGTAGTGTGTACACAGACCTTACCCCTACCCCGAAGGGGTAGAGAGGCTGTTTCCGAAAGACCCTCGGCTCAAGATAATAAAAGAAGACAAAAGGAGAGGATATTAGATTCATCACGGAGATCATAGGAAAAATAGGAACATAAAATGCAGAAGAAAAATGCAAAGCAAAAACGGTGGCTAGTAAATGGATCCAACGTCGAAAAAGAAAATAATAAGACACGACATTGCCCCTAGCTCTCTTAGACAAAACCCTACCGGACTAGGCTCACAAAGGTACAAAGTAACGCAAGACTCAACTACCTCCTAGCCTACAACCGTAATACTCGACCTCAACAACTTCCTATCAAGTGTCATGTCCTCGGAAATCTGAAGCCTCGCCATATCCTGTCTGATCACCTCTCCCCAATACTTCTTAGGCCACCCTCTACCTCTTCTCGTGCCTTCCATAACCAGCCGCTCACGCCTCCTTGCCGGAGCATCTGGGCCTCTCCTTTGTACATGCCCGAACCATCTGAGCCTCGCTTCCCGCATCTTGTCATCAATGGGAGCCACATGCACCTTCTCCCGAATATCATCATTCCTAATCTTATCCATCCTAGTGTGCCCGCACATCCACCTCAACAACCTCATTTCTGCTACTTTCATCTTTTGGATATGTGAGTTCTTAACAGGCCAACACTCAGCCCCATACATCATGGCCGGTCTAACCACCGCTTTGTAGAACTTACCTTTGAGTATCATTGGCACTCTCTTGTCACATAAGACTCTAGATGCTAACCTCCACTTTATTCATCCTACCCTAATACGGTGTGTGACATCCTCGTCGATCTCCCCTCCCCTTTGGATAACCGAACCAAGGTACTTAAAGCTGCCTCTACTTGGGATAACCTGTGACTCAAGCTTCACATCGACGTCCATTATAGAAGAATAGTTTTACAAAGAGCGTGTTGTTATAAAGATGGATGTTCTTGTTATAGATAAACACTGTTATAGAGAGGTAAAATATAACATAAAAAAGCGATTCCATAAACAACTTGGCTTTTTATATAAGTAACGTTATATAGGGATGTTGTTATAGAGAGGTCGACAGTTGAAAAGAATAAAATAAAATGTTTAATCGGTAATATTATTTACTTTTTGGTCTAAAACAAAGAAATAGAAAAATGAAAAAAAGATTTCAACGGTTTACGATCGATTTTTTAATAAACTTGAAATTTAAATTATAGCAATATATATAGTTGAATATGATAAAATTTCTTCAGTTTCAGTTAATGTAATATTTCTATTCTTATATTACAACTTAATTTATCAAGTTTCCAAATAACATAGTCTAATTATCTTTGCTGGTCAAATCCTTTTATGATGATAGATTTGATCAAGTACATCAAGAATGAGATCCAACCCTGAAACTAGCAAATCAAATACTTCTCTAGGAACAGCTTCCGCAGCATCCAACAGCCCCGCTGAACGTGATTAGCTTAGCAAAAGCTCTTGGTTTGCATTCAGAAAGTCAGTTCTTAGTTTGCAGCTACTCTTGACAAGCAGTAGTTAAGAAAGTCTCGAGTTTTAGTTTTCATGTAACCGTTTGTATAGAGCAAGGTAGGGCAGCATTCTTTATCTAGCCTTGTTCATAGTCTGATATCCTTTCTTTAGCTTAACTTGTAAACAACAGAACTATAAAAAGGGAAACAAATGGTAAAATTCAGTTGACGAAAAGTGGAAAAAAGAGCAGCTTTCTAGTTTCATTTCTCTTCTTTTGCTTCTTCCCTTCCCTTGTGGTTTTCTGCGATAACAGAAATTAAGACCTAAGAAGTATACTCTTAACATACTGTCCTTCCAATTTTTCGAACTGTTTTGACCGAAGATCAAATATCTTGGGTCTGTGATACAGGGTAACAGGGAGATCTACGAGGATGTCGCACATCATATTGGAGCGAGATGGATGAAATGGAAGCTCACTTCTGGTATTTTATGTGACAAGAATGTACCACCTAGACTTAAGGGCAAGCTCTATAAAGCGGTAGTTCGACCGGCAATGTTGTATGGAGCCGAGTGTTGGCCAGTCAAGAAATTTCATGTCCAGAAGTTGAAAGTAGCGAAAATGAGGATATTGAAATAGATGTGTGGGCATACCAGGAAAGATAAGATTAGGAATGAATATATTAGGGACAAGGTGGGCGTGGCTCCTATGGAAGATAAGTTGCGGGAATCGAGGCTGAGATGGTTCGGACATGTAAAGAGGAGAGACCTTGATGCCCCGATAGGAGGTGTGAGAGGTTTACCATGGCGGGTCAGAGGAGGGGTAGAGGGAGGCCTAAGAAGTACTAGGGTGATGTGATTAGGCAGGACATGACTCTACTTCAGCTTACCGAGAACATGATCGTTGATAGAAAGGTGTGAAGGTTGAGGATAGGGTTGTGGGTTGACAGACAGTCTAGAGTTTCGTCTAGTCTTTCCAGTATTATTAGTACTAGTCTTGTACTTTCCTATTCCTAGCTCCTTGCTATTACACGGTGTGTCATTATTTCCGGTAGGATTGGCTTTATTCTTGTAGCGTTGTATTCTTAGATTTTTGTTATTCCATGTTGCACCATTTTGCTTTCATATCTTATTACCTTGTTGTTGCTAATGTCTGTTTATTGCTTCATTTTCACTATTCTTGAACCGAGGGTATTTCGAAATACCCTCTACCATCGTAGAATAGGGGTAAGCGGGGAAGGATGCACGTTAGTTGAAGCGGTGTCATCCAACATCGGTTCACCGGAAAATTTTACTAAGTAGATATGTGAACCGTGTAGTAAACAAATATATAAATTAAATGAAAGTACTTGAAAAATAAGCTTACTCGGTCTGATGGGCAGCTTCTCCATGTTCACGTAAAGGGTGGGGGATCGATAATCACTTAGATTTTTTCAACTTTTTTGAAGTATCTTTAGTTTAAATCCAAACTCACTCAGATTTTTTGAGCATTTTTTGAAGTATCTTTAGTTTAAAATTAGATTTTGTGGGTTTGTTGTTGTTGTAGACTTGTAGTACGATACTGTTACGATCCAAAATCTAACAAGTCGTGATGACACCTAACAATCTGCTAGGTAAGCCAATTAACAACTAACCAATTTAATGAGATTTATTGAGACAAATAAATAAAAGAAAATATCTGAGTCTTATAATTCCCCAAGGACTGGTAGTAGAAATCATGAGCGTCTAAGATTTAGAATTTACAAGGCTGGTTTGAAATAAAGTACATCATCTATTTGAAATATACATAAACAGATTTCTATAATTCTAAGGCTACCATGAACATGAGGCAGCCACAATCGGAACACAGGTGCATCTTCAAATCCAACTCCCGTCGAACACAGCAACATAAGCATCCAACATCTGCACGCATGGTGCAGAAGTTTAGTACGAGTACAATCGACCCTATGTACTCAATAAGTAACAAACATAACCTTAGGTTGAAAGCAGTGGCGAGCTGGGACAAGGGTCGGAGTCCAACTCTGTAGCGACCCCACCGGTCGCTTAGAGAATTTTCACTTTGCTCGGTAGTATACGGGCATGAGTAGCTCCGTATGATGTGTCATGACTTATATAAATCGTCGATTTTGGTTTTCAGGTTATTCGAAATCGATTTGGAAGAATGAAATTTCATTGTTGAAGCTTTAAGTTAGAACCCGGGCGTATGCCCGGATTTGCATTTGGATGTTTCTAGAAGGTTTCGACACAAATTGACGAAAATTAGAAATGTCAAGGTTTGAAAAGTTCATAAGTTTGACCGAGAGTTGACTTTGAAGATGGCGGAATCAGATTGTGGTTCCAAGAGTTGGAATAGCTTCGTTATGTCATTTGGATTTGTGTGCAAAATTTGGGTTCATTCCGGTTAATTTGCTATGTTTCAGAACGAGATATG